GCTCCCCAGGAGCTGGCATACTTTCCTGAATTGTAGATATAGACAAATTTGCTAAATAAATCTCGGTTGATTTTCTGAAGACATCGGATAGTAGGGAGATGGTGGAGAAGACTCAGAGGATGTTCTTACGGAGCACTAGAGCATCAACCCTCCCCTTTTCTATAGCCTTATTTTAGAAACCACAATCAAGGCCTAATGGGGACCACTTAGGAATGTTAATTATATTTCAGGGAAGCAAAATATTGCACTTGGCTAAGTATTATCTCCTCTTATCATATGCTGATTTGTATGATTTTTTTAAAGTGTATAAATGTAGAATGTGAGGGCAAGTTTTCTTTTTGTTTTTGAGGAAAGCGACTTGTCTAAGGTCACTGCCGAGTCCTTCTAGATCCTTGAGCAGAGGCAGGGTGGAAATAGCCTCCAAGAAACTGAAGACACTAAGTCCTAGGCCCTAGGTGAATCCAAATTTCACAGAATAAATCCCCTTAATAAAAGGATTTGTTTTGTAAAACTTGGATTCAGTCAAAAGGCCTCACCCAAGGACCTAGAAGGCCACAGGTTCCCCCCCCCTTGTCCTAGGGAGTGGAGAGTCAAGTCGTTAGCTTCTCCCTAGCACGGCTTCTGATGGTCCTGTTTGGAGAGTGGAAAATGTCAAGGGTGAAGATGACAAAGAATTATGCAAGTAACTACTACCATATTCTCCAGTGGGGTTGATACCTAAAACATCAAAGGAGCATTTTATGGGACTAATGGATCTATACTTCACCTTTGACTCAGTTCTGCACTGCTTCCCTCCAGGTCAACATCTTCTGGCAAGCTAGATCAGGAGTCAGACTTCTCTTGTTGGTGGTGATCCTCTCCAATGCAGAAATTCCTCCTGTTTTGAATCAGCTTCAACTGGGGGACCCAGGAGATCCTGACTTCTTAAACCCATGAGGCTGCCTCTAAGACTAGACAGCTATCATAGGATCAATATTCAGTCATCGATGCTTGGAGGTGGAACATGGAAGAGATGAAGCAGCTAAGGGCCCAAGGCCCAGGCTTAGGCTCTGGCTCTGGTTCACCTAGGCAGGACATGTGTTCTGTGCCCTGCTTTTGAAGCTGTCATGCTGCCATGCCCCAGGTGAGGGTGGGCAGAAATCTCAGGCACTCCTTTTAAAGCCTGCTTTATGAATGGCTCTTCTTATCTCAGTAGCCAATACTCTCTTATGAATTCTTCCCCATTCTCAACCCACACACCAGATAGGGAATGAGAAAACACGGTGAGTGTGAAGGGACCACTGTGGGTTTTGCTATGTCATCAGAAAGCAGTAAGCCCCTCATACTTGAGCTACATGTTTCCCTAGATGTAGTCAGGAGAACTCAGCATTATGCTTTATGCAGAGTACTCCAATCCAACCCTGGATATATGAATATTTCACCATTCCACTTCTTGGGTTTAGCTCACCTTTCTGCCTAATCTATTAGTATTTCCTCTACTCTATATAGATATTTTCCAATGTCTTATTTATAGCTTTAGTATATATACATATAGTATATATTTCATATATAATAAATATATAAATATTTATATATAGTATATATATTTGTTTTTAAAAAGCAAGCCTTCTAGATCATTCCTACATTAAAAAAACCCTAATATTTATAATTGAACAGACCACATGTGTCCCTGACCCATAGAATACCCCCAATTTCACAAACACTAATAAAAATATCAATTTTTCCTCCTATTGGAGGTTTCTGTTATTATGACCCACATCATTTCCCACAAAGGCCCATTGCTGATGAGAATTTGGTAGCAGAATATAATACATTGTATGGCATACAGAGGAAATTTACCAACTCTACAGACCTACTGTCATTAAAAATCCTGGAGACTGGTGTCTTTTTGTATTAAAAAGCTATAGAAGTGTTAAGAAGTCTAACAAACACGTGGGGGTGGACAGGGAAGGATGCAATTAAATCAAAAAAACCCTTTGATGAATTTTAACCGAGCCTAATAAATGTTTGCACTTAATAAAAGCCTGATCTGAAAGAATTATTTAAAGATTTCAATTTTAATGACGTGTTTTTAAAGTAATTCTTCTCTAGTTACTTCTCACAGAACTTTCTGTGAGACAAGCTAGTTGGTCTTAGTGAGGAGCAGACCAGAGACTCTTCTAATGTGGAACTCAGCCTTGAAAGTAAGAAGGTGTTTCTCTAGATCAAGCCCCTCCCTCTCTTCCCTCCTGGGATATTCCTGGGACCCGTTTCCTAGGTAGCCAAGGAGCCAACAGTGACTAACGCCCCTCTGGTGAGCCTCTTTTTTCATGGATCATAATCCCATAATTAAGATAACTGATGGAGCATGTTTCATCTTCACATTTATCAGTTTGTTCCAATTGCTAAGAACCCTTTATTTGGGGTTCTAGGTACCAGTTATCTTCAGGGACACAGCTTTCATCTGTCCCATCAGAGGAACATCTTGGGGGAGGTCTCCCCAGGAACTTTTATTTTTTAATAGCCTGAGTGCCTAATGCTAAAGTCTTCCCTCTTATCTCCAATTTGTCCCGTACATATTTTATTTGTGCATAGTTGTTTGTCCATTCTCTCTCCCATTACACTGCCAGCACCTTGACAGCAGGGACTGTTTTTTTTTTGTTTTTTGTTTTGCCTTTCTTTGTATCCCTAGCACATAGCACAGTGTTTTTGGCACAAAGCAAGCACTCTGCTTGTTGACTGACTGGTGGATATGGTGCTATGTGCTTTGAATTTCAGAAAGAGCTAAGAGAATGAATTGTCAGTCCTCCCTACAGGCAGAAAGGCTTTGTTAGAGCTGGAGGGGACCTGAGAAATCATTCAGCATATCATCATTTTTTAGAGGAGACAACTGAAACCCAGAGAGGGAAAGCGACTTGTCTAAGGTCACTTGGTGGCTGAGCTGAGACTACTGCCCAAGGTAACAGAAGGAGGAAGTGAGGACTCATACTGGGGTCAGATTCCAGGCTTGCAGAAAGCCAGTGTGCTCTACACGTCCTCCCCAGCCCTTATGTTCTAACCCGTACCTAGTTTAGCCTCCCACGTCTGAGACGGGGAAGGTGGAGCAGAAGAAGCAAAGAAAAATAAGAGAGGCACAAGCAAATTACGGAGCGAGGGACACTACGCATGTGCAGTGGGTGAAGGCGGGGTTTGATGGGAGCAGGGAAGCCAGACGGTGGGAAAGAGGGAGCCTTTGGCTCGCGCGTGCGCAGAGGGCGAAGGCTGGGTGGTGAGGAGTTGGGTGGGGGCGGGGGAGAAAGGAGGGAGGGAGGACGGGAGCGTGGATTCGCGAGTGCGCAAAAGTGTGAAGGCAGGGCGTTGAGTGGGGGCGGGGGGGCGTGGGACTGCGCGTGCGTGAAGGAGAGGTAGTGGGGAGTTGGGTGTGGGCGGGAGCGGGGAAGGTGGAAGCATGAGGCTGCGCGTGCGTACTCTCTTAGGGGCGGAGCGGAGGGTGAACCGCGAGGGACTGGGAGGCGGAGCGAAGGAAGGGGGCGGTGTTTCTCAGCGCGTGCACGTCGTTGGCGCGCGCCTCCACTATTTAAAGTCTCAGGGTTCCACCAGTCGGGGTGAGCACGTGGGGGAGCGGCAGGAGCGGAGCTGAGCCGCGGGGCCAAGGCTGAGAAGGGGGCGGCGGCGGGGCAGGGGGCGGGGGCAGCGGTAGCTGCACGTGGACTGACTGCACCTGGGGGGGCGATCGCCAAAGAGCTCGTAAGTGTGGGTGATCGGGATGGGGGGTCTCCCCGCCTCTGCTCTGGCTGGGTTGGGGGGCAGCGGTCGGCGGGCGCTTGGCCCCGGGCTCCCCTCCTCACTTCCACGCCTGTCCCGTCCGCCCAGCTCGTGGGGGCAATTCCTGGGCTGGCTGGCGGCTGAGAAGTGCGGGGGAAGCCCGGGGCGGAGCAGCGGCTCCCCGCTCTCCCAGCCATGTATGTCTGCACCTTCCCCAGGGCCTCCGACCCCGGCCGGTTCTGGGTTGGTGCCTCCTTCCGTAACTTCACTTTCTGGCTTCTCCCTCCTTGTCCGGCTGCCCGCGCCTCGCGCTCCGCTCCCAAGAAAGCCGCCGAGCTGAACTTGTCCCACCCAAGGTCGCCCAGCCCCGCGTGCGTTTACTTTTCAAAGGTCGTGTGTACCCAGTCCGAGCGAGCAGAGGGGGCCTTGGAACAGAACCGGATGCCAAGGGCCGCAGCCCTGGCATGGGGTGGGGCCAGGGGGTCCAACGACTGGCTCCCCCCCTCCCTTTTTGCCCACCCCACTCCTAGAGATGCTGGCCTTGAACAGCAACTAACTAAAAATGTCATCCGCTCTTAGGCCCCAGTCCCGTCCCAGGTCAGAGCGGGGCAGGTGGTTACCGAAAGCCAGGCTCCCCTTGTTCGTTCCTCTGATAGGGGTTTGCTCTGTGGAAGACGTTAGCAGAAGTATTTAGCAAAACAGACCAAGTGAACCTGGGGATCAGTTCTGAGAAGCGAGGAGAAAAAACCTTCTTGGCTAGTATTTTGGGGAGAGGAAGAAATGGGACATGATGGAGACTCCAGAGGAGGAGTTCTGACGCCAAGAGAAAAGCTGGTGGAGTTCTATGCTTCGTCGGACAAGCTTCAATCCCTGAGCCCCCGGGGTTGCAGTTGGACAAATGTTACAGAGAAGAATTGATTCTCTCAGGGTCTGCAGCAGCGACCCGGGTGCTGGGTCTCTTGGGTGGGCACACGCACCTGTTTGAAATTACAGTTTAAAACAAAGCAAGAAAGAAGGTGCTTGGGCGGATTCGACTCAGCCTCTGGAGGGGGCGGGCATTGAGTTTGGCCAGCCTTTCTTTTCTCTCTAGTAGCTCTTAGCGCTATTGGACTGCAGCTGGCAGAAAGTGTATGAGACTAACGGGTTTTTGTTTTCTTTTCTTTTTTTGGCTCTGTGATGTTCATTGAGCCTAAGGGAAGTGCCTGAAGGTTATATAACTGAGATCCAGTTGTTTTTTTTCCTTTCCCCTTCATTAGGAAAACTTATGCCACCCTCACTTTCCTGGGGGCAGAAATGGAAGTGGAGGTGAACAGCAAGCAGAAGGTGTGTGCAATCGGGGCAAGGTCAGGTGTCAAAATAGAAACAGTCTGACATTTTGATCCTAGTTCTGCTAGCAGATGCCCTGTCCAGCAGGTTCCCATTTTCCCCATCTACCGTTACTGATAACTAGTGGCCTTAGCTTAAGTGAAGGTAGAGACACCTAGAGAGAAACCTTTTAAGTTGACTTTGTGTGGATTTTGGAATGAGGCTGGTTTAACTATCCTCCTCTAACTTAAGTACAGACTGCTTGGTATTTTAGTATTTATATTAACTGAAACCAATCTCAGCTGAAACAGCTTTGTACAGACTGCACAATCTTCCTTCTCCCTTGTTGGCACTCCCACTGTTTATAGCCCATGCTATGTGTAGAAAGAAAAACTTTGGCTGGCTAGAAATGAAAAGAACTGTTCTTAATACTTAAATGATGCTTTGTACCATTTAAAACAAAAACAATAAAAACCTAGTAGTGTCACTTGGTATTACCTGACTGTCTTCATTTGGATTGACTCTGGGCTTTAGCAGTAAAGTGGAGTTTCTTTTCTGTTCACCTCTGAAGAAGTCTCAGCCCTTTCTCTTTTCAAAGCACAGGTAGTACTAGAAGGACCAGAATTTAAGAATACCTCAAAAGACCAAACTGTGTCAATCTACACTGCAGTTTTTTATATCCATAAGACAAAGAAAATAGGATAATTTTTATTTCAAATAAGATCTATTTGTAATTATTTGTATTTAAAGTGCACATAAGTGGGATTGTGTTGTTAAAAGGGCTTTATCTCTTCCTAGTTATGTGACTGAAGTATAGTGCTAGGGTGAGATTCTTTAGTTGAACCTCCTCTTTTTTTTTAAGTGCCTGCTATATGTTAGATATTGGAGATATAAAGAAAAAAGGAGAAAAAGATCACAGCTTTCAAGAAGCCTGTGAGAAACACAGTGTGTACATATATACCTATGTTCAGAATAAATATAAGGTAGTTGGGAAGGGACAAGGTTGCACAAAGTATTAAGGAGCATAGCTTGAATCCGAAGTCACTTTTCAGTTCAAGATGCATCACTTTACAGTGGAAAAAAGCTCATTTGGATTATGGTAATAAAATAAGGAACAATAACCATAAGACCCCCTTGAAACCCTGCCATCCATATGCAAATCAGTGAAGGTACTAGAATTCCTAGGGTAATTCTAATGATAGTGTGCTGTTAGATGATACTCCAGAAATTGTAGATAATTGACTTGAGTGAGTTTGGCAGTAGTTAAATGGTTGCTTAATTTTTCCCCCCATTTATCAAGCTGCCCCTACCCCCAAGACAAAACTCATGTAACAAATGTACTTGGTCAAGCAAAACAAATTCCTATATTGGCCACATTCAAAAATGTTATGTCTCATTCTTAATATTAGTTCATCACCTCTGTATCAGGAGATGAGTAGCATTCTTCATTGTTCCTTTGGAATCATGGCTGGTAACTGTATAAGGCTTTCAAAATTGTTCATTTTTACAGTGTTATTACTGTATAAATATTTCTCCTGGTTCTGTTCAGTTCTGTCTGGATCAGTTTATACAAATCTTTCCAGCTTTCTCTGCAACTGATTAATTTCTCACAGTATAATAGTACTCTATTATGTTCATGTGCCATAATTGAACAGCACCCCCTTAGTCTGGTTCTTTGCCACTACAAAACAAAATAAGTCTACTATAAATAATTTCATGCTTGTAGGACCTTTTCCTTTTAATTTGATCTCTTTGAGGGACATGCCCAATAGTGGTATCATAGGGCCAAAGGATAGACAGAGTTTAGTAACTTTGGGGGTATCATTCCAAATTGCTTTTCAAAATGCCTGTGTCAGTTAAAAGCTCCGCCCACAGTGCTTCCAGGTATCTGTTTCCCCAGAATCCCTCCAACATTTATTGTGTTCCTTTTTTTTTTTTTTGCCACTCTGCAAATGATAGGTTGTAATGCAGAATCTCAGAGTTGCTTTAATTTTACATTTCTCTAATTGTTAGCAATTTGGAACATTTTTTTTAAAATATGGGAAATACTTGAATATATCTAGAATAGCACTTCTCCCATCTTATCTCCCCCTACCCCCCTTCAATGGCACTAACTGTTTTTGTAGCTGCTTTAGAGAGCTGGTAGAAGCTGCCTGCCTTTAGTTGAAAGGCGCATACCCAGTTATCATGGTTTTCCAAGGACGCTGGTGATGAGATTCCAGTGTCAGATTCTGAGTATCAATATTTAAAACAATTTCACTTCTGAACCATAGTGAATAGCCTGGACCTTTTGCTTGGACTGATTGGGATTATGCAACTATAGCTTCTTTTGACTAATAACTTGAGGCTTATGAAGTTTCTTAAAAGCCTTGACTCAGATTGGCTTTGTCTTAAGGGTTGCTTGGGTAAACTTAATACTTTAGCTCCCTAAAATTCAGGAACTTGGTGTTAGGAGAGAATTGGCTTGACCAGACTTGAACAGCAATGCTTAATCTTGCTAGCATTTTAGGGCATACTAGCTAGGCAAGAGCTGATTTCTCCCCCTTAACCTTGTATTTATAGTATATATAGTAGAATGTAAACTTCTCAAACACAGAGACATATATTTTTGTCTTTGTATCTCTATTTCCTGATCCATACTAGGCACTTAATATTTGATGTCAGTTTCTCAACTGTGTGAGCTGTGAGGCTGAGTTCTCAGATGCATGGGAGAGGGAGCAAGAGATACACACACACATGTATTTCATGTTGGAATAATGACAGTACGTTCATGTTTAGTTTGGCTTTGTTTTCTGACATCTTTTCATCTGTGTACTGAGTGGGTTTGGAATCAGAAGACCTCTCTGAATTCTGACTGCTACCTTTGAGACCTAGGGCAAGTCATTTCACTTGTCTTTGCCCCAGTTCTCACCCCCACAGAATGAAGAGCTTGGTTTCTCCTAAGAAGCAACACTGGTCTTGACAACTGTGAGCAGAAGTAGGCAGAGAAGAGAATTCACCTGTCTCTTGTCCTGCTGAAGTGCTCCACAGTCAGTGAACACCGAGTGCTACTATGTGTCCGATATTGTTTGAAGCATGGGAATACCCCCCCTCCCAAAAAAAAGGTCCTTGCCATTAAGGAATTTATGAAGGGGTTGTAACATGTACACAAAGCAAATAAAAAATGGATGCAGGAAGTGGATGACTGCAGGACATTTGGAAAGGCTTTTGGTAACAAGTAGTACTCAAACTGAACCTTTGAAGGGTTACCTTGTACTGGTGTGTGCTGTACATGTGTAAGTCTTGACATTTTCATTGGTTGACCTGTTTAACCAAACTTCCTTTTCTATATCTCTGATAGAGTCTCTTAGACAGTTTCTTAGCATACATAGTCCTACAGTACAAATTTAGAGATGACGGAGCCAATAGAAAGCTAGATTTGGAGTCAGGAAGGCCTGAGCTCTAATTCTGCCTCAGATCTCTACTAGCTGTGTGACCTTTGGGCAAGCAACTTTCTTTAGCCTCAGTCTCTTTATCTGTAAAATAGGGATAACGATAGCACCTATTTCCTAGAGTTGTGAGAATCAAATAAGAATTGAATATTTGTAAAGAGCTTTGCAGAACCTTAAAATGTTTTTAAATGGTAGCTATTACTAGAAATTTACAAAATTTTGGTTTACTATAGGTCCCTAAATGGAGGGCTGAGATTAACAAAGAAACTCTGGATAGAGAATATCTGAGTTCTCTTGCTAAATGCAAAGACAACATGACTTGGTTTTTTGTTTGTTTGCTTTTTTTTTTTATGCTCAGAAGTAAGGGCAGGTGAGGGAACCAGTAGTGTATGGTGAATAGCAAACTAGACTCAATAAGAAATACTTGGATTTGAATCCCACCTCAGACATCAACTGTGTGACCTCTTGAGTATATCATTTAATCCTTCTGATTCTCAGTTTTCCTCTCTATAAAATGGGGATAATAGCACCTGTATCACAAGGTTATTTTGTAGATCAAATAAGATGTTTATAGAGCACTTTGCAAACCTTAATGCAATATGTAAATGTGAGCTACTAATTATTATTGTTTATTTTGGGTTTAATAGTACATCAGAGGTGTTAGTGAGATTGTAATAGATAGTTTTTTTTAGGGCTTTGGTGAAAGTGAGAAACAGGAGTAGCATCCACCAGCAGGGCTTATGTCCTAGAAGGCTGGCCCAGAGAAAGCATGATAAGGGTAGATTTTATTTTTGCCATAGATTAGGTTCTACTCGGTGTGAGTGGACTTTCCCCCCCTTCTTTATTCTCTTGTTGAGGGAAGAGTTGTTACTTACTTAAGTAGGAGGTAGAGGCACTGTGGAATATATACCTGCCAAAGAATCAAAAAGATTTATTCTGATAGCCTGGTTATTTCTTTGCTTTACCTTCTTAAGTTTGTGCTTAAGGCTTCAAAGGAGAAGACTGCAGGGGTTTTTAAAATATTCAACATTTGTTTGAGAACTAGCTGCTGTCTAGTAATAGTTAAGTGGATTTTTCTAGGTACAGGTTTTTCTTGGAAACTGTCTCACTCATCCCCTCCCCAAGGAAAACAAAACAAAATAAAACTTCAGCGTAGCTTCTCCTGTATGTAGCCCAATAGCTGCTTCCATTCTTTCTGTTCCTTGACTTTGGGTATTTTTCCAAAATGACTGTTTGTTGCAATAACATCTGCAGAAGGGCATCCCACATCCTATTTGGTCTTATTTCCTACCCTCTTGCCTGGATTTGTGTGGTAGAGACCTACTTTTGTTACTTTATGAATAAGAACTGCAGGTGCTTGCTTTCTTGGTGAGTTTTTCCATCTGGTACAAGCATGTTTTGCTGCTCAGAGCAGAAAAAAAAATTGTTTTAGGACTTAAAATCAATTCATTGATCCTCCTAAATACTGTGCCATTTAGAGATGTTTTTCCTTCAGTTTCTCCCCCTCTCTCATTATGTAACTAGGGAAGCAGGTAGACAGACCTCTCTGTTTGTCATGCCTTGTAGATATACATTTCTTCTGAACGT